TTTTTTTTTTACTTTGCGGATCAACCTACATGTTGCTGTTTATTGCCTCTGTGTCAGATAGTTGTTGATCGGTTGTCCTATGGCAACAATGTGGCCTGTCATCTATTGCAATCACTAGCCTACTTGTGGATAAGGGTTTATTGGCGTGTTAAAGTCGTATAGTCATTTCCAGTAGTCAAATGATATCCAGTATAAATGTGGAGGTCTGTAATTGCGGAGCTGTGCAGGTATCCTGTCTACATTCTCATCATGCCTAACCCACCCAAACAATCCTTTCTGTGTTGCAATCCCAAGAGGCTTCTCCGCCGATGTATATGATATTTGCTGGTGTCACCACCTATTTAAGTGCCGAGGAGCCATATGCACACTGTGATAATCCTGTGGTAATCTCACTGAAAGTCTGCACACCCTGCCTTCCTCTCAAAGTGTGCGAGTGTCTTTTCTGCCTTTTCATTTTTTGGGAGGGGGGGTGGTGTGCGTTCACTGCACCTCTTCAGCATTGAGGTCTGTCATTTTACCAGGTGAAGTATTTGTGTCGGTGCTCCAGGGTCGGATAATTACATGTAATTATTGGAGTTACATGCTCAGAAGTCCATGACATGGCATTAAAGGCCGTGAGCTTGCAAGTCCTTGCAGCAGAGTAGCTGCGACTGAGCCGGACTTTGGCCTGAACGCTGTTTACTCTGGCCAGTTGGATGGAGAACTCAACAAGGAGCATTGACAACTCACTTAAAATAAGCACTTATTGTTTCCTGGGCTGCCATTCATCCCACTGAGACTGGCTGCCGGGCTGTGTTTGTATAGCCATTAGTGTGTGCACACTTAACATTTCTTTATTGAGAAGATGGCCCCTGTTCAGGGTTGTTTTGCGAGCTGACCTAGAGCTTGTCATTCATCCGTTCATTCGTTGTCACTTTAAGTGCCATCGTGTTTTCACCCAAAGGCCTAAAAGAAAAGATCACGTGGATGATTTGTGTGTGATATCCACCTTTTGGTTAGTGTGCCGCGGCCTCCGGAGCAAATAAATTACAATCAGCTGACAACAGAGCCCGTGAAATGTCAAATATGCAGCAGTACGGTTCATATCGTTGGTTGACACAGGCTAATCCAGAGGCTGCCCACCATGAGTCATCATTGTGGGGACTTTTGTTCCCTCTATCCGTCTCTGTCATTTCAGTGTGTTGCTCTTTCTAGCCTGTTCTGATTCCTGTAGTTTCCTGTAGCTCTCCTGGCAGAGCCTGTAATCAGCCGAATGGCCTGATTAACTGCTATACTGATTGACCTGATTGGCAAAAACACTGCAGAGGTAAGCAGTCTGCTCCGCCACCGAATTCCCTCTCTCTCCGCTATCATTTCAGACAAAAAATGACATCATTGTTGTTTTGAGGAGGTGATTTCTGCTGTTTTCTTTCCACCTGCGGTCCGTATTCCTCTTGCACATCCTCCTGTACGACGTGTGCAGACGCGTCGATACCGTGGAGGTCACTCCGGTAGAAAGTTCTGGTTCCTGCTCACTGCTGCATTGCTTAATATGACCCTCTGATTGTATCAAATATCCAACGAGTCAAACGGTCTATAATTACTCTCTGAAGCAGTATTTCTGTCCGGCTTGGTTAGCAAAGCGCATTATGGCCGACTCTCCCCACAGGTCATTTAACAGCTTTTGTGACAGCAAACTTTCTTTTTTACTTATATCCTCCCAAACATATTAGAAACTGCAATTATGACAAGGGATTAGTTGACTTAATTTGATTGTGTTTTTTTTTTATTTTAATTGGACAAGGCCTGCAGCTTTCTTTTTCTTTGTATGCGAGTCAAGAAAGTCATTTATCTACATTTCTTCAGCGACCGGTGTGATGGGACTTCATGAGATAATGCCCGCAATGGGCTAATGGAAATTCCCTGTTGAAGAAATTATATTGCAGAGCTTTGACACATCTATAGAGCACTCTGCAGCTACCGTGTCATTTCAGACAGGAAAGTGTTTGGGGGATGTATTTTGCTGTTTTTAGAGTTTCTGCCCTTTCATGAAGACCTGATACTGGCACAATGATTGCTCTTCTTCAGAAGATTAGGGCCTGTGTCATTGAGGCTAACAACAAAGATTACTGTCAAAAGGTGGTGATTTTATCATTTTATTCACATGATGCTCGGTGGGACCAACGGAGAACACAGCACTTAGATTTCTTTTTGCCGGAAATGTGAATTTCTTAATCATCTGCTACACTGCCCGAGTAATTCTTCACATCACTTTTGATCGTCGAAGTCTTGTCGTGCCGCTGTGGCTTCATTACCGCTGTC